TGTACACATATTAAAAAATTGTAGGGAATAATGCTTTGAAGCCTGAAAACAGACAATACAAAATTCATGGATGTGAGCAACATAATGACACAGGTTCTAAGTACAATTCCTTTTTTTATTTTATTAATCTCCTAATTTAAAATAGGTCTATTTTAGCCAGTGCTGCTGCAGAATTTCCAGCCAGGTTAGAGCATCACAAAAGCTGGGATAATTACCTTCCAGTTTAGATTCAAAATAAAGAGTTTTGGAGGCCTTTATGTCTGCAGAAGCCACCCAGGAACAAAACCTTCTAATATTTATAAAACACAGTATTTATGAAAAATGCCTACATGCTTCTTTCTTGACCAAATTTGTTAATATTCCCAAGAGTACTTTGGGCATTTTAGTTGCTCTTCAAGCTATGCCAGAATAGTGTCTCAGAACTCCTTGCTTCTTTCTCCTCAAGTCTGTCAGACTCACCTGTTGCTATTGTGCATTATTTATTTGTTTTGGTACTGTACTATTTTGTTAGCTTTTAACAATGCCAATCTCATATACAAGGCATCCCATAAAAATAAAGGAGCTAATGTTCAACACAAACGGTTAAGAACTTACAACAACCACTGAACTGCCATTCTGACATTACTGTAAATTGAGTAAGCAACCATCAACACAATCCAAAAGACAGCTGGACCATTTTTAAGGCTTTGGCTGTAGGAAACCCTTCAGTTAGAAACATGTATGTTGGGAAATTGCTGATATACCTGAAGCCAAGTATCAAAAAGCATGGAGAGAACGTATCATGAGTGGGAGGGAAAACATCAGCATGAAAACTGTCATAAAGTAAACAAAATAAAGTTTGATATGAACAGTTAGATAGGAACTTGGCTGTTTCAGTGGATTTTTCAGAACTATTGTTCACTATTAACTTTATATCAACTTAAACGTTATTAAAAATGTTTTTATGAAAATGTTCTTATTGAAAAAAAGATTTTATTAACGCTATGTGCTTCATGATGTTTTTCCTCCAGGAGCCATTTTTATTTAATACTACCTTCTTCCTCTTTGAAACGTACTTCCCTCGGTCTTCAGCTACAGCATTGGATTTTCTATCCCTATTTCTCTACTTTCTTTGGTCATTTCTCTTACCTTCCAGAAATCAGGAGATTCACACTCTAACTGCTGAAATGGACCTTGTCACCACGAAGACCAAAATAACTCAAGGCCTCACAACTGTCTTCATAGAGGAGATTTTACCCTTAAAATTAGTTCTCTGAGACAAGGAAACCATATTGCAGACTATTGCAACTGATGCTTGGCTTACATTTTCAATTTTGCTTTCCTACAAACCCACTCAGTTTATTATTTATTGCTAGTAACTGCTGGGTTAAGAATGGAAGAAAGCGTATAGGTATTTGATGTATTTAAAGACGGAAATTTGCAAGCCACTTAAAAAATGTAGGTCTTGAATCATTCATGTATCTCAATAAACAGCTCTCTTTCCACCGGATTTTTCTTCTTCCTGTCTGAAGGAGGTATGTAGCTTTCTACCTGTAAGAGGTATATAGCCTTCTACTTCTGTTGCTCTTTTCTTGACTCTGCCTCATGTTCCCATAGACAGGTACCTATAAACAGCCCTTTGTATGGAGTTTTAAATATCTTTATTTCTCTCTTCCTTCTTACACATCCCATGAGGCTCTGACCCTACTCCTACATATTCCTGCCTACAGATTACTCATAAATATTCAAGACCCTTTCCCATCATTGCTGGCATTTCTTCCCTCACACAACCGTTCTTGAATTATATTTTTCACTTCAGAGATCTTCTTTGCCCTTCATATGCCTTGTCTCTTCCCTTGGCACTCATATTCCTACATTGCTACTCTCATTCCCTACCAATCTCTTTCTTTACCTGTGTGGCCTCTCCCTCCATGCAAATATTCAGGTTCTTTTGTTCCCTACGGTTCTATCCTGCTCTAATCCTGCTGTTGCTTTTCCTCTTTCTTCTCGTAACCGATACAGCGTAGAGGAAGGAGGTAGCTGTATCCATGGCCCCATGCCTTCTATAATAAATACAGCAGTTCTGACATGGGATATGAACGAAATCCCATTGCAGCAACATATCTATTTCCATTTCTGTTTCCATTTCCAGGTATTACACTAATGATATTCTGTACAAAATAAACGAGCAAGAATAGAGCTAGTGCTCACTGGGAGGGAAAACTAGGAGAGAGTCCTTTAGAAGAAAGGGAAACAAAACGGACTATATGAAGTATTGCTTTGCCACTAGTTATAGTGGTTAACATACACATTAATAAAAGGAAATAAATTACTGAAATATTAGAAACAAGTTTATTAGATCACATAACCCAATCCACTGCACTAAGGATGGACAGAGTACAGCTATAATATTGTCTATCAAACCTCTGCATGAAAGAGACTGCACCCTCCTCCCACTAGGTATCTTTTTCCAAACGGCACCCCTTCGTATTTTAGAAAGTTTTTTCTAATATTAAATCTGAACTTTCTGAATAACTCAGTTGATTTATTTTTTCCTTCACACAGAACCCAAAAAGAATTAAATATTTGTGTCCTTTTTACAGCAACACTTTCCATATAGACAGACTATTTATCTGCTGTTTTCTCAGACTAAACAAACTCTGTTCTTTCAACTTTTCTGCATATGTCTTACATTCTAAATGTTTTACTATTTTGTTATTTTGCTCTGTACTCTCTCTACTTTTAGACCAAACACAGTTGGCTTCATCGGGCCCTAGCATAAAATTCATCTGTCCTGTCAGATGTACTGCACACCTATTAACACATTGCACAATGAGACTTTTCTTTAACTGTAGCATGCTGCTGACTCATATTTATTTTATAGTGCATTACAGCCCCCAGATTCTTTTCTGAAATGCTGCTCTTTTAACAGTATTGTTCTGCTTTTACCTTTTTTCTTCCTAAATATAATTTGCATTTTTCAGTATTAAATTTCTTCCTGCTTTTTTTAGGCTGTTTCTCCAACGTGTTAATATCATTTTGTCTTTTGATACTGTCCTCCCAAGCGCCCATAGATCCTTCTAGCTTGCTGCTGATTCCATCATCCATGTCACTAATGATGTGAAGAACAGGAAATACCTTTAAGTAGTTAACATGAAAAATAGTATATCATACAAGGCATTCAGCTTAAACCTCATTATTTTTGGTGAGGCAGAACATGACTTCTTCAGAGATAAAAGTCTTACTTTTAGGACACTGAATGATGGAGAACCTACCATAATCCTACACTCTACTCCAATTGTTAGGTGTTATCAACATTTTATGCATCTCATCTGAATGTGTTTCAATTCCAGCCAGTGGCCTCATCTATCCGAGTAAAGAGCCTTTGCCTACCACGGGTGTCTTTACTTCTGCTTAACTCTATATCATGATCAAATGCCATTGCATCTTTATTGAGAATTTCAGAGGTAAAAATAAGATAAATTTTCAAATCTTGGAATCTTCTGAATTGCTCCTTTTTTTTTTTTGCACATATCTGAACAAGATGCGTTACTTCAACAGTTTGTCTCATTAATGTTATGGACCACGCCACCTTCCTTTGACTGGATAAGCCTGTTAACACATCAAAAGGTTGCATAAAATGCCCTGTTAGCATTAAATGACTCCAAGAGTCATTTATCTGCACTAATCCCAAGGCATTTTGAACATCACAACATCCAGAATACAGGTTGTCTATGACGTAAGTATTCGATTTATACATTTTTTTCCCTCCTAAATATATGACGATGCATTTGGCAGCATTAGTCTTAAACCAAGCTAATACTTTTCTTTTTAAATAACTGACTTTTTTATATCATTGGTAACTACACTACCATTATTTTATCCTCTGTAAAGTTCATCAGCAGAGATTTTACGTTTCCTCCCGAGTCACTGAAAGAACGGACCCCTTCGGGACACCCTAACGACGATGCGACCATCACTCCCCATTAGCAGCTGCATTTTGAACAACTGCGCCCCTCCGCCTTAGCTACCGTCCAATCAATTTAATTAGCACTTCAGACTATTGCCTTACGCCTCGGCACGGCGCCAAGGGTCGCTTCACGGAGGCAAAGCCAGCGAGTCTGGCAGCAGCCGG